TGTCTGATGTGGCAGTGTGTGGTGGCTGCTGGCCTCTGGCGCAGCCCGTGTCTGATGTGGCAGTGTGTGGTGGCTGCTGGCACTTTGATGTCTGACTCTTCCCCTCTGCTGGGAGGAAGTTCTGGAAGGCTGAGGCAGGGTGATCTCCTTGGCTCTCTAGCACATTAATGGAACAAAGAGAAACAGGTTGAGAGCTCCCAGGAGGCTCATGGAGGCCACGCTGGCTCTGCCTCTGGTACTTCTGTGCCTGTGCCTTCACCTGTACAGTGGCCCAGATGTAATATTGCATCAGGGTGACCATTCTGCCTGTCCTCTTGGACAGGAGTCTGTGGACACTGGGTCCAGATGTGCCCCCAGATGTCCTTGGTGCTCTGTCCCTGCCACCCCTGGTGCTCAGCTCCAGGGAGCCTGCGCTATGGCTGGGCCTCCTTCCTCGGGTCTTGCATCTTGGGGCTGCAAGTTCTGTTACCATGGGGTGTCAGAAACCCCAGGCATCCACATCACTGCCCTGCGGTGGCAGTAGGCTTCCGGTAGGGTTTGTCAGCAGCCAGAATGGGCTGCCCACTTCAGCACTGCCAGGCAAGGCCCTGACTCAGTTTACCTGTCTGTACTGCTTTAGCCCCTGGGCCCTGCCCTTTGGAGGACTTCAGGGAGAGGGTCAGGTTCTGGGCAGTATGACAAATGTGGGTGTCCCAAGTGGGAGCCTCTCCCACCCTGGGGCCCCATGGGTAACCTGTACTGTGCCCCCAACATGTGCCTCTGGGGAGCCCTAGAGCCCAGGCCATGCTGGCTCCCCGCAGGCCCAGGAAGCTGAGCCCTGCAGGGGCGGCCTGGCCCAGCTGCTGGCTGGGCAGCTGTTCACCCCTCCCAGCACAGTGCTTACTCAGCCCCAGCAGTGCTCCCCAAGGTCCCTCTGGGGCTCCCTGCACCCTCTACCAGCAGCTCCCTGCTAGCTCCCAGACAAGGGGTGGGACTGGCATTCCCCTGGGGTATCCTGAGGTAAGCGGGCTTCCCTCCACTCTTGGGCCCCCTTGAAGGTAGACACACAGACCCCTGTCCCACTCAAAGCCAGCTTCAGCAGTTTCACTAAGTGCTGTGACAGGGCCCTGGTGTATGGGCAGATGCTCAGAGAGCAGCAGGCCAGGAGCTGCTTTCATTGGGCAGAGATGGCTCAGTGGCACCCAGGAGCCCTTGGCTCCTGTGGCCTCGTGGGCTTGGCACTCCCATGATGAGCCTGGGCATCTGTCTCCTCCTCAGACTGAAAGAGGAGTGGGCAGGCCATAGCACAGTGCTGGTCAGGAGCAGACGTGGTGTGTCTGAGGTCCAGACTGGGGGACTCGGGGTCTGTCCAGCTCCCCTACCCCATGCCCACCTGCAGCAGGCTGTGTCTTCCCCACCTGCCTCTGCATCCCCACACCTGGGTGACAGCCCCTGCCCTACTCAGCCTCTTCTCCCGCCTCCCGTGTCTAGGCCCTATCCATCCTGTCCACGTCATTGTCCCCTCATATGAATCGCCTGTACAGCTGGCTGCCAGGCACCACCTCCAGAGGGCATGTCCAGGGCCGGGGTCCTAGGTGGCGGGTCCTCAGCACAGCACGACTCCCCTGGATGACTGTCCTCACTATGCAGGTGCCTATCCCGCAGCCCCTGTAGCTGTCCACATGCTGGCTGGCACAGTGTCTCAGATCCTCTGTTCCCCCGCCTGTGGGACATGCCATGATGGACATCTAGGAGGCCCTGCCCGGTCAGTCCTGGCACTGTCTTTGGGACAGGAGCCTCTTTGGTGTCCTGGATTGCAAGTGGGGCTGGCAGGCAGTATGACAGGCCAGGGTGACCTGGCCTGGGGTGTCCTGACTCCGGGCCTTGGAGGTGGTGGAGCTGTTTGGTGGGGCTGTGCTGGGAAGTGAGCTTCAGTGTCATGAGTGGTGGCTCTGGGACCCCTTCCAGGCCGCGTCCTTGAAGCAGGCTGAAAATCCTCAGCTGCCCTCTGCCCAGCACCACACTGGGCTTTGCTGGTCAGTGCCCTCTGCCTCCTTGCCCTGTGCCCACCTTCTCTGTGCCTCCACCTCCTCCTGTCTCAGTGTCCCGAAGGCCCGGGACCCCTCCCCGCCTGCCCCGCCCTGGCTGTCCGAGCTTCGCCTGCTCTGCTCCAAGGCATCGTGCTGTGTTGTGACCAGCGTGCTGTCCCGGGTGATGCTGCTACTGCATTGGACCCTGGCGTCTATGACCGACCTCTGCTTCCCAGGGCCTTCGTGTACCTGAGCAACCTGCTGTACCCCGTGCCCCTGGTGCACCGCGTGGCCATTGTGAGCGAGAAGGGCGAGGTGAAGGGCTTCTTGCGTGTGGCTGTGCAGGCCATTTCAGGTGCGTGTGGGTGTGGAAGGTGGGCAGCAGGGCACAACAGCCTCCTGGGTCGGCTTGCAGGCCTACCCTGCCTGTCCAGGCTGGCCCCACAGAGTGTCCTCTGTGCCGGCTCTTGGCGCAGGCCTCCCGAGCTCTCCTGGGTTAGCCAGGGCCACGTGGGGCTGTACAAAGGCAGTGGAATGGGCTGGCGTCCTGCTCGTGGAGAAGGCTACCGTCCACTATTCCCTCCAAAGACCTGGCTGCCCGCACCTAGGAGAAAGGATGTGTGGGCTGAGCCAGGAGGAACCAAGGGGCCAGCACCCCCATGTGTCATGGCCCCCAGTTCTCTTGATGTCTCTGTTGCCTGTCCTGATACCCTGGCCAGTTCTTGAGAAGAGACTTTACTCCGTTGGTCTAATTAACATTTGGTCCAGACTTCCAACCCCCCATAATTCCTAAACACTTTTACATCTCACCCCAGAGATGTCTGTGTTGTTGTGGAAGGGAGCTGCAGTCACGGAGACCCCAGGATGCCGGCTACAGAGGGTAGCCTTGTGCTCAGGAGGGCCCTAGCACTGCCCCTCTCCTGTGGCCTGTGCTGGAAAGCAGGATGTTTGCCTGCCCTCCCTCGGGGCTGCTCCCCCACCAGGCCCTGGTTATGTGTAGGAGCCAGGCTGGTGCTGGAGCTAGGAGCAGGTCTTGTGCGCAGACCCTGGCAGGCCACATGTGGGGTGGCGCCGGGCTTCCCATCCACAGCTTCAGAGAGAAGGGGACGTAGGAGAGGCGCAGCCCTGTACTGCCCTGGGGGCTCAGCATGAGCCTATTGGGGCAGGTTGGCCAGCTCTGTAAGGGCAGAGCATCGCCAGCCACGCGCAGCAGAGTGGAGAGGACGCATGATGAGACCTGAGGCCCAACCAGGCTGAGTGACAGAACCTCTAGTGCAGGGGCCAGTTGGGGTCCTTGGGGAAGAGGGCGGGGCGGGGCAGGTGACAAACTTGAGCACTCAGGCGGCCTGCCCATCCTGGGACAAGCCGGGCCTGACCGCAGCTTGCCTCCTGCAGCTGATGAGGAGGCCCCTGATTATGGCTCTGGCGTCCGCCAGTCAGGAACTGCTAAGATCTCTTTCGACGACCAGCACTTTGAGAAGGTACTCCAGTCAGGTGACAGCTGCTGGGGTGGTCGTGTGAGAAGCCTGCCCCTGGGCTGGGATCCCTTGGGTCCTTCCTGGGCACAGGGCCTCTTTGTAAAGCATATGACACCTCTTCCCCAGTTTCCTGTGATCTAACAGTTCCACCTGTCCCCGAGGTGCTCTGGCCCAGCCTCCTTGGGGCTCAGACAGCACCGCAGTGCCCCAGCCAAGTGGCTCCCTCTCCCCCCCGCCCAACTCTGCACCCTGACAGTTCCAGTCTGAGTCCTGCCCTGTGGTGGGGATGTCCCGCTCGGGGACCTCCCAGGAGGAGCTGCGTATCGTGGAAGGCCAGGGCCAAGGCACAGACACAGGGCCTTCTGCCGATGAGGTGAACAACAACACCTGCTCTGGTAGGTGCCCCTGGTAGTCCAGGATCCCGGGTGTGCCCACCCCTCTGTCCCATCTGGTGACAGTATGGCCCTGAGACCATGACTGTGTCCACTCCTAGCAGCAGTGTCCCCCGACGGCCTCCTCTTAGACAGCCCCGACAAAGCTGCCCTGGACGGGCCCCTGGACACTGCACTAGACCACCTCCGCCTGGGAAGCACTTTCACCTTCCGCGTGACTGTCCTGCAGGCGTCCAGCATCTCGGCTGAATATGCTGACATATTCTGCCAGTTCAAGTGAGTGCCCCCTCTAGTTGTGGTAGCCCTGCCAGGAGCCAGCCAGGCCGGGTAGGGTGGGGCATGCAGCCCCAGGTGCCACCCACCAAGTGTCTGTCTCTGCAGTTTCATCCACCGGCATGACGAGGCCTTCTCCACAGAACCCCTGAAGAACACAGGCAGGGGTCCCCCACTTGGCTTCTACCATGTCCAGAATGTGAGTCCTGGGGCCCTGTCCCTCCCAGGCCTGGTCTGAGACGAGCTCCCCTCCCTTCTTCCTCGCTGAGTCAGGCCTGTGCCTAGAGCTGCCGACACCTGACACAGGCCCCCTGGGGCTGTGTGGGCCACAGCTGGGAGGCAGGTGCTCCTGACAGGTTTACATGAGGTGCAGGAGCACCCCACAGTGGGCTTCAGCAGACGCAGACACAGGGTATCCAGAGAGGTGCTGGCCAGGACCCACAAAGAGGGTGCAGGGTGCCTAGCGAAGACAGCTCACCTGGGTGTCTGGGACCCAGAGATCAGGCTCACAGAGGGTGGAGGAACCCCAGGGACCATCCTGAAGGTCTGGGGCAGCTCTGGGCATGAGCATCTGGTGAGCTGTGCTTCTGGGACACAGGCAGGGACAGTGGCTCTGCAAGGCTCTGGGAAGCTCGACTGGTGGTGGGGCTGCCAAGCAGAGGGGGTGGACGTGTCATACTTGACAACAGTGACACTGGCTGGGGGTGTGTGTGTGACTGGGCAGAGGGCATGGAGGCTAGCACTGACCTGGTTGGCACCTGGGTCTGCAGTGGTTGAGGCAGTGGTGTAGGACCTTCCAGGGCCTCTGTCCTTGACCCATGAATGGCTCTCTTCCCGTCTGTCCACACCGCCTCTGCCTGGGACCTGTGGCCCAGTGTTTCCTCTGTGAGGACACTGTCCCTAGGTCATCTCTGTCATTCCCTGTCTTGAGAAGGGGATACTTTCTGAAGCCGGCAGCTTAGGACTTCAACGTAGGAGTTTCAGGGACAGAAGTTCCCCTAACCTGGCATTGTGGTGGCCAAACCGCCCAGTCCCTATATGGCCCATCTGCCCACCAGGTCTGTTCTGGCTCTCATCTTGGAGTCAGGCTGAGCTGACTGGGTTTGTCTCTGTCGCGGGCAGAGGGTGGGCCTGGCTGGGTCCCACATAGCCCTCGTGGCTGTGGAGCCTTTCCTCAAGGGTCTACCCCTCCCTGGCATGCCGTGGCTGTGCCTCTCCACCTGCCTCCTCACCCACCAGATTGCGGTGGAGGTGACCAAGTCCTTCGTTGAGTACATCAAGAGCCAGCCCATTGTGTTTGAGGTCTTTGGCCACTACCAGCAGCACCCCTTCCCGCCACTCTGCAAGGACGTGCTCAGGTCAGCACGGGTCACCTCGTGGCCCCCACACCCCACGTTTGAGCTGAGCTGAGGGGGTTCCAGACCCACCAACCCCTCCTGGCGCCAAGCTGGCAGGCCTGGGCCCTCAGCTCTCTTGTGAGCTGCAGCTCCCCCAACTCCCCAGCCATCAAGTGGGACCCGTAGCTGAGGGACAGGGCCTGCTGTGCAGAGAGGATGGTGACCAGCACCTGGGGAAACACTGGCACCCAGAAGTCCTCACCTCTTTGAGAATGCAGGAGCCACAGGGCTGGGTGCTATGGCTTGGCGCCTCCGGAATGGAGTCTGGGTTCTAGAGGGTGCCCCTTTCCCACTCAGTTGGTCCAGGACCTGAGGCTGGGGTCTTCCCTGGGCCTGGGGGACAGGGACAAACATGGGGCCAGCAGCAGCCCTGCCCTGGGTTGCCCACTTTGACCAGGCCCCTCACTCTGTCCTCCTCCTCCACAGCCCCCTGAGGCCTTCTCGCCGCCACTTCCCTCGTGTCATGCCGCTGTCCAAGCCAGGTAGGCCAGGCTCCCACATGTGGGCACCCATGGGGCAGGGGCTCCACAATCAGATGGGGTCTGCCAGGCTGGAGGTGGCAGGGGAGGTGGCCTCTGGCTCCTCAGGCCAGGGACATAGCCAGGTCTGTGGGCTTTGTGGCTCATAGCTGTCATCCAGTCTTCTGCTCTTTGCAAGGGTATAACTGGAGACAGGTGGAGCAGTGGGTGCTGGGATAGCACTCAGTGTGGGTTGCAGCACAGCTGGTGGGCAGAGGTTGGCAAGGGTACATGAGACAAAGGCTGTTTGTGCAGCGCCCTGGGAGCTGGGGGAGGTGCGCTTGGTGGTGCAGTGGACGCTGCTGAAAGGCAGCTATGCCATGGGCTGGGCAGCATGGCAGGCAGAGGGGTTCCAGGCCGGGCAGGCTCTGAGCAGGTCTCTGCCACCCTGCTGGTGCTTGGTGTCACAAGCCACACCCTCCTTGAGGACTTGTGTCTGGATGTGTGGGCCCCTGCACCTGGGCAATGGAGAAATTGAGGTCACATCCTCCCAAGCCTGGTGCTGGTTGCCTGGTCTGACATGCTGGGTGGGTGTGCCTTGTCTGTGTGCCTCTGGCAGGGTCATGCCTCACTCGCAGCCTGTGATGGGTATGCCTTGCCATGCAATGTCCCTCTCTTGTCCCTTCAGTGCCCGCCACTAAGCTCAGCACACTGACGCGGCCCTGCCCAGGGCCCTGCCACTGCAAGTATGACTTGCTGGTCTACTTTGAGATCTGCGAGTTGGAGGCCAATGGCGAGTGAGTGAGCGTCCATGTAGCCTGAGCTGGACACAGGGATGGTGTCCCTGGGTCCCTGGGTGGTGGGGGAGGAGATGGCTGAACACTGTTGGGAGATCTGTCAGCCCCTCAACATGGGCCACATTCTGGAGAAGAGGCAAGCTGCACCCCTGCCTAGGGGCGGGGCTGTGGCCCCTGGTGATGCTGAGCACCTGGCACCAGGCTGGGGTGCATGGCCTGGATCATGGATATAATCAGCAGGTTAGCTGAGTACCTAGAGGAGGCACAAGGTCACACAGCTGCTCCCTGGGGCTCTGGGCACAGGCAGTGTGCCTGCCCCCCCCCCCAAGCCCAGGAGGGTTGGAAGGCCAAGCTAATGGGAGCCAGAGGATAGAAGCTCCGCTAGCTGCAGATCCAGGTCCACAGAGAGCGAGGAAGCAGAGCCCTGGGGCTGCAGCAAAGGCCCAGCCTGGAGACCTGGTCTCGGCCCACCCCAACACCCTTCTGGCACAGTGGCAGGCGAGTGTGGGCGAGTCCGGCTGGCCCAGTGTGGGTTCCTCCATCAGCTGCTGATGCTGTCCCCAGGTCCCACAATGGGGCCAGAGCTGTGGGGTACATTGGAAAGAGGGTGTATCTCACCATCGTCTCTCCTGCAGTTACATCCCAGCTGTGGTGGACCATCGCGGGGGCATGCCCTGCATGGGGACCTTCCTCCTACACCAGGTACACAGCCTGCCCTGCAGCCTGCCCCCACCCCACCCCCACACGCTGACTCATCTTCTGTCCTTGCACGTGGCAGGGCATCCAGCGACGGATAACTGTGACACTGCTACATGAGACAGGCAGCCACATCCGCTGGAAGGAAGTGCGGGAGCTTGTTGTGGGTGAGTGGACAGTGGGGGGAGGGGCATGGCCAACCATGCAGCTGTGCCCTGCCGGGTGTTCCCTGCAGCATCACACGACCTCTGTGTGCCTCTACCCCACCTGAGAACATGAGCCCTGGGTAAGCGATGGTTTGCAATTTCTGTTCAATGTGTGTCAGTTTTCTAAGGCTGCCCTAACAGGGTGCCACAAACTGGGGGGCTTTGAAAAGCAGAAATCGGCCTGACCTGGTGGCTCCTGCTGGTAATCCCAGCACTCGGAGGCTGAGGTGGGGAGATTGCTTTGAGTTTGAGGCCAGCCTGGGCTACAAAGCAAGACTTTGTCCCAAACAATTAAACATGAATAACAGGAATTGTCATAGTTATGGGGTTGGGTCCCAAGTCGTGACGTGCTGGAGATGCTCTCTGACACCTGGCTTGGGGACAGCAGTATGGGGTGTTCTGGGCTAGGAAGTATCATGCACCTTGGCTTCCATGAGTTCTTTTTTTTTTTGGTTGCTCGAATGCCTTCAGGGCACTTTTGGCCAGCGGGAGAGGTGTGAGATTCGAACTCCAGCAACCTGAGGCTGACAGCTTTGTGGAAGCAGCCACTTAAAGGCCTGAGCTAGGGCCAGGCCCCCTCCATGAGTTCTTATCTGAGCCCCTCTTCTCACGCCACCCATAGAGGCCACCAGCCCTGTGTGATGAGGCCACCGCACCTAGGGTGGCCACAGCCTGACTAGATTAACCACACTTGCATTGTTTTCACGCACAGGATCGCGTTTGGATGTCATAGGGCCAGGGCTCCAGCCTATGTTTTCTTGGGAAGGATAGTTGAACTTATATGCATCCCTAAAGCTCTCGGATGTTTCCCTCCATGGCTTCCTGTCTAAATGGCGGTCTACCAGATGCTTCTTTTGCTGAGCCAAGAGCAATCCTTCACCCCATGTGTTGGTGCTATAGAATGGTGCTGGCGTCCTGGCCCCGCCAGTCATGTCAAGGCTGGCAGAGGGTCTGCATGAGACAGACCACATCCTTTGACCCTGGGCCTCCTTCTTCACTTCCTGCTGTCCTTCCCTGAAAGTGCAAACACTACTGTCTGATTAGGAGGTGGGGGCTTGGGGGGTTGGGGAGACCCACCGTGAGTACCCAGCCCCATCCAGGACAAGGCCTCATTCTGGCCTTCCCCACCAGGGGTGGGTGGAGAGTGGCATTCCTTTCTGGGAGGTGACATCTCACTTCTGCTCCCCTGGAGTCCCCAGGATCACTGTTTACAGCCTCCCCTGAGCCTGGTGGCCCACTCAGGTGGCCATGGGACTTGGAGGCCCTGTGAGGTAGGAGGTCTTATGGGAAAGGGTGAAGGGCCAGAGACACAGACATCCCTGAGGTCTTGTAGATGGGGCCCCCTGTGGCCGGGCAGTAAGGGCCCCCACCATCCTGACTGGCGTGTCTGTCTGCCTGCTCCCCAGGGTTGAAGTCCTGTCATGGAGAAGGGGCCCACCGTGGTGCCCACCCCCTTCTTCCAGGACCCGAGTGCTCAGGCTTTGTGCCAAATCCTGGCCACGTCCTTGCCTGGCAGGAGAGCCAACAGGCCTAGGCCAGCTCGCGACTGGGCAGAGGAAATGCGTGTGGTCTGGCTGCTCCTTTGACCGAGCGGAATGTCGCTCCCGGGGCAACAGCCTTAGGCGAAGCTGCCTGTCTTGCGTGCAGGCAGGTGGACACAGCCAAGTGCTGGCGTTTCAGAGGCCATGCGGGGAACGTCCATGGCAGATGATAGCACAGGCGAAGCTTTTTTGTCTCTGTCACTGTTACTGTTGTACACAGGAAGGGGTGGCAAAGTGCTCGCCTTCTACCCTGGCCAAGATCTTGGGCGAGCGAGGAGGGCCTATGTTTTTAGGGCTGAGGAGCTGGGATCTATCCACATGCAGGTGCATGGGCCGGGGAGATAGCTCAGTAGAATAAGCACTTGCCTGGCAAGTACAGTGGCCTGAGCTCAATTCCCAGTTCTGTTAAAAAAAAAAAAAAAAAAAAATGCAGGTGCAGGACAGAGGTAGAGAAGGGGCTGCCCACAGTACGCCAGGTGCCAGAGAACTGGCTGGCCTCCCTGTCCACCTGGTGACGCCTTTGCTCACTTGGCCCACAGTCCCTTGGGGTGAGACAGCCTGCGAGCGGATCAGCTCTGCTGGCTGGAGGCTGCTGGGCCCCACCTCTGCCGTGCCCACTGACACAGTGCGCGGCTACTCCCTTCCCCTCAGGTCGCATCCGAAACACTCCCGAGACTGACGAATCCCTGATCGACCCCAACATCTTGTCTCTCAACATCCTCTCCTCTGGCTACATCCACCCAGCCCAGGATGACCGGTGAGTCCTGCTGTTCCCAGAAGTTCCCTCGAGAGCCTCCTGTCCTTTGTGGCATGACCAGTAAGTGGAGCCAGTGGCCCTAGCTCCCACGCCCTTGACTGTGTGTCCCTGTCGGTGGTTCACACGCTCACATTGCTGTCATGGGGGCAGTGTGGGCTTGAAGTAGGTAGGCTGGTGCCGCAGGTCCTGGGCTGGTGGGGAGCGGGCTATTGCTGTGGGCAGACAAGCAGCTGCCAAGAACGCGCCAGCCTTTGGTGGGCTTGTGCACTCCTGGGGCAGGGGCAGGGTGGGTCCAGGGCTGGGCCCTAGAGGAAGTTCAGGGGCTCACAGAGCCCAGGTTCAGCAGCTCAGTGGTGAGAGGTGGCCACAAGGCACAGCTTGTCCCACGCATCTGTCACAGGTGCCTGCATGGCAGCCCCTTCTCGTGGCATCTGGGCAGTGCAGGGGGTGCTCAAGCCTGTGGGGTCTGGCAGAACAGTGGGAAGGGAGGGGCTGCATCTGAGGCCGAGGGTGCTGCAGAGACAGCGGAGTGGGAGGACATTCAGCCAGTGTGACTGCGCGAGCTGCTTCCCAGGTGCAGCACCCAGCCTGGCCACTCCCTGAGGGCTGACTGGGCCCAAGAGCTGGCCCTAAAGCTTGGGCAGTGGGTAGTGTTTGTAGGAAGGCATCTGTGAAGGCCAGGCATGTGCGGGTGCTCCTCTGAACAGAGGGCCCTGGGGGAGGCGGCTCCCTTCTTCCAGTTCCTGGGTCTCAGTAGGGCTCGATTCTTTCCTAGACACCGGGTCGGGTTGGTGGAGGGGCAGTGGGCCTTGGCCAGCAGGCAGGTCCCTGAGGGACAAGCCTGTGCTCCTGCAGGGGTGCTGGGTGTTCTTGCATAGACATGGCTCCAGCCAGGCAGGTTGGAGGTCACTGGGCTGTGCGGAGCCTGGACTTCCTCTGGCCCTGCAGCTCTGCTGCCATCCATGGCCCTGGCAGGCTATGGAGGAGGCCCGGTTACCCCTGGGTGCCACCAAACTGGGCCTGTCAGACACTGAGCAGTGCTTTGGGGCCTGGGAAGTGACCTTGTTCCCCTGATCCTGACCTCCCCTTTGGCAGCAACCTCTGGGTTCCTAGTTTAGGAAGTGGGGAGGTGTGTGGGTGTCTTTAGGCTGTTCCCTGCTATCTCCTTGCATGCAGGGTCAGCTCTCGGCCATTGGGTCCCCTCTGATCAGCTTGGCTTCTTCGGGGGCTGTGACCTGGCTGATCCAGACTGACTTAGGAGGCAGCAGTGCAGGCCAGACCTCAGGCCAGCAGGACGTCTTCTAAACAGGCTTTCCCTGTTCCTCCAGCTGGGGAGCCCAGCCCTGAAGGCCTCCATCATGCTCCCAGCCGAGAGGCCTCCGGGACAGGAGGCGTAGCCTTGCCTGGCCCCTGCCCTCCCACCACAGGAAGTCTCAGGGCTCCTCCTCTGAGGTGGCCTGGGGCTGGCCCCAGACTGTGACTCCTCCCCTGGGGCTACACAGGCATGGCTTCTGGCCCCCCACGAGGGTGATCTCTGGGCCCGCTTGGCTGGACTGCTCCTTCCCAGTCGGGGGAGACCCAGCCAGCTCCGGCCAAGGGCCTCAGCTGCCCGCATGCTTTGCCATGACCCCAGCGGCCTCTCCTGCCTGTTCCCGGCGGCCCAGCCCACTGCCCGCTGCCCTGCTGCCCCCGCTGCTGCTGCCCGGCTGCCCGGCCTTGCCCTCACTAACGTGTGACCCTTTGTGTTTTGCAGGCAGTTTCTTGATTCGGACATTCCTAGGTATCACTGCGTCCCTTGGTTTTCTTTCAGCCTACCCCCCTTCCTTCTTCCCTGACCGCCCACACTACCCTGAAAATTTAATTTCCGGCTTTTTTGGTTCCTCATCAACTTGCTCATTTTACCCTTCTGTTTCTCCCTTTCTACTTCCTTGGAAAAATTGTTCTGTTTGTTTTTTATTTTTATTTGTTTGCTTTCCTGCCCCCAACCCCTTGGCTGAGTTCCTCCTGACCTGGCTGCTTTGTAGTTTTCTGCTCCTAGACACTGGCTGGCCTCCCACTCCTTGACCCATGCCCACACCCCAGCCTGGCCGGAGTGGGCACTGGCATCCCCTGCATGCAGGTGGCCCACTGTGGGGCCACACCAGCTCTCAAGGGCCAGCCCCTCCCCAGTACCCTGTAGTGGGCCACACCGGAGCACATGACATGCACAGACAGAACCCAGTTGCAGGAGATGCCTCTGAGCTCCAGCCTTGTCCCAGCCAGGCCCTCAGGCCGATGCGTGTTTCTACTGCCTTTGTCTCAGAAGTGTCATGTAGTAGATTGCTAGGAGACACTCAAGTCCCTGGACTTGGCTTGTCTCAGATGCAAACCTACCACAGCCCAAGGCTTGGCTTCTCCAGCTTAAATGAGCCCCTGCCCATGCTGGCCTGGGACTAGGATAGCTTTGTCCAGGGATAACTCTGGAGGGCCAAAGGGTCACCTTCTGGCCCCTGTGGACGTGGCCAGAGTTCTGTGATAGTCACCTTGTGGGCCAGCTGTTCTGACTAGGAGCCGTATAGCCTTTAAGGGGTGCTGGATACTCCCTGGAAGGAGTTGCAAGACAGGGTCAGTGTGGCTGGGGCTTCCTCAGACTGTGCCTTGCCAGACTATGCTGTGGCGGTCAGAGCAGGGGTGACTACACTTGGGGGCAGTAGTGGAGGCCCCACCATGGCAGAGGAGGCTGGGCTGTTGCTCCCCAGGGCAGGTTCCCTACAGTGGGCTGGGGGCCAGGTGAGCCAGAGACCCTGTCAAGGGACACCTGAAGCAGGGACCGGCTTGCAGGCCTGAGTAGGGCCTGTGCTCCCTGCGGCCAGCATGTGCGGGCTGACCCTGGAGGGTGCATCCGGCCCAGATGTCCCTCAGCTGGCCATCTCTGCAGGGCCCTCCTGTGCCTGGTGTCCACCCCAGCCTGGAGAGGGAAAGCTGTCACCTCCTGCCTAGCTGGTTCTGCGGCAGTAGTGGAGAGCTGCCCAAGGTAGACAGTGGTGCCGCAGTTGGGGAGAGGGGCCAGAAGTCAGGAAGGCTGTGAACCTACGTGTGAGTGTGAGTCCTGACCAGGTCTTGGCTCCCAGAGGAGCTGTCCAGCCTTTGATGCTGGGCTTGAGACCTCAGTTTCCCTCTGCCCTTTTGTGCCGGGCCGTTGGCGAGTCTGCTTCGTTCGTTCACTTACGGAGTGCACATAGGCATGCTCGGGAAGCTCTGTGCCAAGACACCCCACGTCTCAAGTTCTGTGATCACCTCACTTGGGATGGAGGCCACATGAGACGGGGCAGCCCAGCTGGGCTGGGGGATGAGAGGACCCCGAGCCAGGAGCCCCCCGAGTACTGGCTTGGCTCTTTCCCCAGGCGAGATCTGCCAGGGTTTCCCTGCTCCGAGGAAGTGTGCTTCCCCCAGCTGGTGGGCTCGGAAGCTGGGGCTTCCACTGCCCCTGGGTCCTACCCTGTGTAGTGGGGTGGAGTGTGCTCTCTGCCACCGTGGCCCTTCCACTGTCTTGACCTTGCTCTCTGGAGCTTTGAGATGGGCAGCAGGCAGCTTCGCCCTGGCCTTCCTAGCCTGCCTGGCGCCTGCTCCCCCGTCCATCCTCCCAGCTCCTGTCAGCATCCCAGCCCACTTCCCAGCTCCTAGGCAGGGGCCAAGTTGTCCAGTTATTTCCTGCAGGAGAGAGCTTGTGCTACCCTCCAGAGCTGGGAAGATGGGACAGGAAGAGATGCCTGGAGTGCAGGGCATGGGATCCCCGGGGACCTCAGCCCAGCTCCCTGAGGTCTGCTGTGGCTTGGCCCAGCCAGAGCTGGTGACAGTCTCCCCCTGGGGCAGGGTCTGGCTGCATGTCAGCTGGACAGCTCAGCGCTGCAGGTGGGCCCTCTCAGGACCTGTATGCAGTTTATTCCTGTCCTGAGCTATGTAATCCTCAAGCTCCACCCTCCAGTCACGCCCAGTCAGCTCTGGGAGGGGAGGGGCCGTGCTTCTGCAGCTGGGACTCAGTCCCAGGACTCTAGCATTTGGTCCTTTTCCCCGGGTCCCTGGACACTCCTGGAACTAGCACCGTTTCTGGGTACTTCTCCAGGCTGCATGGGTTCCTAGCTGCAGCCTCCAGCATGAGGTTTGATTTCTGGCCTTCAGTAAACCTCACGGTACCACCCTCACTGACCTCTGATCTCCAGTGGAACATTTGTGAGAAAAACAGGTCCGTATCGTTAGCCAGCATGATTTTATAGGATCAGTCTGAAAATAAAACCAGATTCTCCAAAGGCTAGATGACGCTTATTTGCAAACAGCGCAGTGTTGCGATGGGTCTTGTGGCAATGGCAAACCATCAGCAGGTCGTGGAGACTGAGGCAGGGGAAGCCTCCAAAGCAGACCCCAGAGGAGTATAGCAGAGTTTGGCCCTAGCTACTGAGCCAGTGCCCTGGGCAGGTGCCACTCTTGTGTACTTGTTGTGGTTTCTGAAGGCTTCTCGCTCTGTTCTGGCTGAATATTTTATGCAAATCACCATATATAATCATGCCAAAGAACTTCTCTTTCATCACTTGTTGGCTTTAGTTACCACTTGTCAGGGTGGCCAAGAGCAGCTCCATCTTGATGCTGCTGACTTTTGCTTTCTGTCCACAAAGGCCAGCTGGGGCTGGGTGTCAGCTGGAGGCTGGACGTGCCCCTCAGGCCCCAGCCTCCACCTCTGGCTACAGGAGGAGCAGACTGGCTAGCCTTTCCTCGGGGAAACCCTATGCCACCCGCCCCCAGGGTGGTGCAGCCTCCCTCCAGCACAGGTCATCTTAATTGTCAGCTCAGTGGGCTGAGGACATCCCAGAGATCGCCAGGCCTGTGGACCTGCGGCTTTGGGGTCCTTTCCCGGCCCCTTCCTCTTGGGCTCTTGCCCCGTGCTCTGTCTCCTGGCCACCATGACCTCTCTACCTCTTGTCATATGTACCAAGCACTTTACCCCAGCAAGGGAAATGTGACTAATACACCCCCTGCCACCTCTTTGATGTGGTGTCCCAGAACACCCGTATGAATGACAGCACAGCCAGCAGGCCTGGGGTGACCTTGCTGAAGGGATAGCAGCAAGCCCAGACTGGTCCAGGCCTGCAAGAGGCCTGTCTGTTCCCCAGCTGCAGAAGGGTACATTCTGAGGGTCTCGGATAATGGCAAGGGACCCTCAGGGCCAGCTCAGGTCATCCACTCCCAGGGGGATCCCTACGAGCCTTCCTGCCCCAGCACGTCTGGGTGAGGCCTCCAGCACCTGCTGTAGGCTCCCCAGTGGTTCTGGTGCAGGGTCCCAAGCTCATGTCTGGGCGGCCTGTCAGCCTGTGTCGCCCTACTAGGAGGAAGCATTGTGGCTGGTAACTTACAGAGGGCCAGGTTCATTTTGGCCCTTGGTTCTGGTCCAGTCTCGGGCCTTACCTGGTGACAGCCCAGGGCCTTTGTATAAAGCCACCAGGCTCACCCGTGGCAGCCCCGCACCGAGGACCTCGTGTAACCCTGACTGGTGCCAGCAGCTTCCTTTTCCCTTGCTACCTCAGTGAGGTCAAATCCTTCCACCAGAACCTTGAGGGCCCGTCCTTCCCCCACCACAGCAGAGGTTCAATGTATGTCAAGTTGGGAGAGGTACAGGGCAGGGACACACTGCGACTCTGAGTCAGGCCCGTACCACTTGTGGAGTAGGGTTCACCATTGTGGGGTGACTTGGCTGCTTCTGGACGTCTTCTGGTACTGGTTTCCCGCCATGACTGAGGGGTGCTGACGGTGGTGCCCACATAAAGCCCCACGTGCTTGGGGTTTGTAGGGAGCTACCCTTTGTGCCCTGAGTCCAGCCACCATCTGCAGTGGCTTCAGGGACCTGGGGTGACTCTGAGGACCCCTTCTGGCACGTGGCTGCACAGAGCCATGGCAGGAGTGGGCCAAGGCTGGGTGACGTGGCCATGCATGTGCAGCCCCTTCAGGGCAGACTGGTAGCCTGAAATCTTTGCAAACAACCTGTGGGCAGTGTGACAGCTGGGCTCACAGCAGGCTCAGGTGGGGAGGGCCATGTGGGCAGGAGGGTGGCAGCCCGATCTGGGGCGACCCCAGCTGGCTGGGGCCCACATAGGGAAGGGTTGTGTCTTGCCTGGATGGAGGAGTCCCCACAAGACCTTCACAATCCACACTGCCCCATGGGGTGGCCTGGGCCTGTCCTGCAGAGGCCACTCCATCCTTGGGGCTATGCTAGCTGGCCAGCACCTGCCTCTGAGGCATCCTGCTTGGGGGACAGGGTAGGGACACGGGGCCCCCGAGCAGGGGCTGAGCAAGACGGCGCACGCAGGGGGTGCTGGCCTGGGTGTCCTGGTGCGCCTTCACACTCACATGGGCACCTCAGCAACAGTCGCTGGCCCACCATCGAGGTGGGGACTGCTGCTGCCTTGTGGTGCAGCAAGGCAGTGGCACAAAGGTGCGGCACCTGCTGTTGTCCTGTGCAGGAGGCAGCCAGTGGCAATAGATGCTGGTGGCCTGGCTGTGAACTTGAGGTGGGGCCGCTCTGGCCAAGGGGAGCAATCCTGCCGCCCACTCCAGCTGCCTGGTGCCAGCACTCAGTGGGGCACAGGGCACAGGGTGTCACTGCTGGGAGCTCTGGGAGGCGCGAGGCGCTTGTGTGGGCCGCAGTCTGACGCCTCACTCTCTTCTGTGTGTGTCTGTGTGTCCTGGCTGTCTCGCCCTTAGCGTGTCCTTCGGAATTGACACTAGGTACAGCCACTCTTGTCTGCTGCCCGCTTGCTCTGTCCCCCTCGTCCTCTGACGTCACCCCATCTGTCCCCCTCTCCTCTGACGTCTGCCTGCTGTCTGCCCTGTTCTGGTTGCCCCCTGGCCCGCTCCCCAGATTGCTCCTTAGTGACATGTGTCCGGCAGTGGCCCTGCCTTGGTCCCTCTGCTTCGTTCCACGTCCCTGACTTGTAAAGCCCTGTGTCCCACACCCTGGGCAGCGTGGGGTAGGAGACAGGGCGGTGTGGCACCACCTAAGCCCTAGCACAGCCCCAGCACTGCAGGGAGCTGCCATGTGCCCCCAGAGGGACACCCATTGGTGTCTGGCACCTGTGACCACAGGCGTGAACTGTCTCTATGAGGATGCCTGAATGGAATGGAGCTGATCCTCCTGCAAGCCCTGGCTTTGGGAGAGTGCAGGAGGTTGTGGCGGGGGGGGGGGGGGAGCTGTCACACAAGAGGAAATCCTGTTCCTGAGTACTGGGCCCTCCTGGGTTGGCAGAGGCTTGAGGCAGAGAGGAGCCCCAGCAATGCCTCGGCAGAGCCGTTTCCCTCCAGGCATCCTCCCTGGCCTTCCCTGGAACAAGGCGACAGCTGCCCGCTGAGGGCCATGTAGACCCAGAGAGGCGCTGAGGTCTGGGATAGACGGATGGATGGGCGGGCACCTCCTTGCCCAACAGCAGCTTGGCCTGCTGCCCTCCCGTCTCCGTGCCCGTTCCGTCCCTCCGGCCTGGCTCTCCCTGTCTCACCGTATGCAGAGCTGAGACCAGAGGGCTGGCCTGGCCGCTCATCCTGAGCAAGGATGGCCCAGCTCCCTGTGACTAGCTCTCCCCATGTTTCCTGCCCGCTGTCTGTCCGTCTGTCCTCTGCATGTCCCCACCCCTGGAGCGACCCTCGCCATTACCTTTTACCTCCTCTCTGCTCCCTTACAGGACTTTCTTCCAGTTCGAGGCAGCGTGGGATAGCTCCATGCACAACTCGCTTCTGCTGAATCGTGTCACCCCCTACCGTGAGAAGATCTACATGACCCTGTCCGCCTACATCGAGGCAAGAGAACTCTGCCCATGTCCCAGGTGGAGGCATGCGTGAGCCCCGCCCGGATGGCCCTGCTGGCCATCGTCTTCTCAGCACAGCTCTAGTCCTTGCGCCAAACCCATAAGCCTTCACGATCAGTTAGTCCACGCTGACATCCTTAATGTCTGAATTTTGTCCTTGGGGTTGCGAGGGGGCTGCAGTGCCACCAGACATTCCACCCATGTTCCAGACAGCACTGAAAAGCTGCTCCTGTCCCCACACCCCTACTCCCGGGGCCTCCAGCCCACAGGCTGCCCACAGCCAGATGTGGCCCTGGCCATTCTTGCCATCACAGCTGGATGTAGGGGGCAGGGGTTTGGGGCCAGGGCATCTGCCAGGACCTCATCTCACCTTAGGACTTGGCCCAGGGGCAGGGTTAGGGTAAAGCCAGTTGGCAGGGGCAGGGTGTGGCCAGTGTGAGCTGGGCAGGCCCCACCCCTGTTGCTTGGTGCCATGTGCCAAGCCCAGACTGTGCCTGTCACAGATGGAGAACTGCACACAGCCGGCCGTCATCACCAAAGACTTCTGCATGGTCTTCTACTCCCGTGATGCCAAGCTACCAGCCTCGCGCTCCATCCGCAACCTGTTTGGCAGTGGGAGCCTGCGGGCTGCAGAGGGGTGAGTAGTGGGCTGCCACGTTGCTGCGTGGGCACAAGGAGAACCACTGTGAACCCTGCAGGGGCAAGGAGGGGCTGTCCTCTCAGCAGAGAGGACATGTACAGTGCATGTCCAGCCTGCTCTGGGCCAAGCTAGGGGGTAGGCATGCGGATGGGAACTTGGTGACCCCAAGGGGTGGTTGTGGTCACTGGGGAGGTCACCTGGCATGTGTGGGGCAGTGCTGACCAGCAGGGCCCACCCATGTGAGAACTGAGTGCTGAGGGACTGGGAGGTCTCCCATGGGTGTAGGACTTGCTGTGAGCGGGCACTGCCAGTGCCAGGGAGGAGTATGCCCTGGCCAGGGAGCCTTCCACAGTAGGGACAGATCCTGAGAGGAAGTGCCCAGCACATCCTTATTTGGGAGCCCAGGGAGGCTGAGGCTCCCAAACTCTGCTAGCCATGCCAGTCACCAGGTGTGCCCAGGTAGGAGGAAGCTGGCAGCCCCTGCCTTGCTGCCTGTGCCACACCTGGCTGGTGACCATGCCTCCCTCTGCCCTGCAGCAACCGCGTGACAGGCGTATACGAGCTCAGCCTGTGCCACATGGCTGATGCGGGCAGCCCAGGTAAGTGGCCACTCTCCTGCCACATCTCTGCCGAGCTCCACCTCCATGTCACTCGGGTGACCCTGCGAGGCTAGGGTCCCCACCTTTGCAGGGCATAGGGTTGTTCTCCATGGAAGGACAGCAGGGAGGGGTGGTGTTAGGCTGGCTCCTCTGGCCTCACTGGGTATAGCCTCCAGTGGGCCACTGGACCAGACAGCCTTCTGCAGGTGAAGTGGGTGTGGCTTCATGGCTAGGAAAGGGGAGGTCCACTGTGCTCCTGTGAGGGTAGCTTTCAGGGTAAGAGCTAGTGTCCTTGGGAAGGCTGAGCGCTGTCCCCATCCAGGGATGCAACGGCGGCGCCGGAGGGTGCTGGATACGTCTGTGGCCTATGTCCGTGGTGAGGAAAACCTGGCCGGCTGGCGGCCCCGCAGCGACAGCCTGATCCTAGACCACCAATGGGAGCTGGAGAAGCTGAGCCTCCTGCAGGAGGTGAGCCCTGCAGGCCACCATAGGGGCACAGAAAGTGTTCTCTTCATCCTGTCTACCTTGGGGCTGTCCTCCGCTTGCAGAAGAGATGATGAGGGCCTCACCAGGAGCTGCACAGGTCCAAGGAGGGCAGTCAAGGCCTCGTCACTTTAGCCATGGATGTGGGCCAGCTGCATGTGCATGCAGAGCCCCAGGCCATCCTCAGCCTTCCAGCACCGCCAGCTGCAGAGCTGCAGGTGCCTGGGAGCCGGGTGAGGGAGCGCAGGTGTCCTGCACTGTGGCTGTGAGACACTCAGGGCCAGTCGGTGCAGTGGATCCTCCTGGCCATACTGCCTTCCTGGTTTGTTTCAAGGGCACCGTTTGGCTCCCTCCCAGGCAGGTGGACCTTCAACCCCACCCAGAGGGCACAAGCTCAGCAAGGCTGCTCTGTGTCCCTGTCCTAGGTGGAGAAGACCAGGCACTACTTGCTCCTGCGGGAGAAGTTGGAGACCACCCAGAGGCCTGGACCTGAGGCACTGTCCCCTGTCTCCAGTGAGGACTCTGAGTCCCGAAGCTCCTCTGGCGCCTCTTCCCCACTGTCGGCCGATGGCCACCCCTCGCCCCTGGAGGCTCCCAGTGAGAGGCAGCGGGAGCTGGCCGTCAAGGTGAGTGGCCCTGGGTGGCCCAGCCACTGGCTGCCCTCATGGAGACCCCAACCTTGTCCAGCTCCAATCGCTCTGTCTGGGGACATCAGTTTGGGGCCTTTTCACCCTCTTCCCCCAACAGTGCCCTGCCCCATCTTGCATACCTGAGCTGGTGGGGAGCATACCACCTTTCTCCTGAGGTACTGTCAGTGGGGCCTCCACACCTCAGGTGACACAGAGTGGCTGTGGCTAGGGCAGGGTCCAGGTGGGCAGGCACAGGGCTGACTGGGTGCTCTGTCTGCAGTGCCTGCGTCTTCTCACGCACACGTTCAACAGGGAGTACACGCACAGCCATGTCTGCATCAGCGCCAGTGAGAGCAAGGTGAGCAGCGAGGCCGCGAGGGGTGACCTCCAGTTGCGTTGCTGGTCCCCAGCCTCCAAGTGAGGGGCCAGCCTGGGGCCAGGGCCAGCAGGATGACCCGGGCCCTGGGCAGCTCCTGCCTTGTCTCATGCTCTTGGCCCACACTATTCCCAAAACCTTCATCCTGCAGCTCACTCCCTTCCTGGGGCCAGGCAGAGCCTATGTCCCCAGTTTGGATCCATGTTGAAGGCCACCCTGTACCCCACCAGCCCCAGCAGCCCTGTGCCAGCTTTCTCTGTCCGCTGGAGAGCAGTCAGGCTGTCCAGGACCACCCAGGAGAGGGCAGAGGGACAGCCAGGGCCAGGAGAGGCTTAGACCCAGGGACAGGTTCCCCTGAGCCTGAGGCTAGGAAAAGGAAGCAGGGTACCCTAGACAGCAGGTGGGGTGCAGGTGGCTCTGGGGACTGTCCTCTGAAAGGGCTTTTGTCTCCTCCAGCTCTCGGAGATGTCTGTCACCCTGCTGCGGGACCCGTCCATGTCCCCATTGGGTGCAGCCACGCTCACCCCATCCTCTACCTGCCCCTCTCTGGTGGAAGGGCGCTATGGTGCCACTGACATGAGGTGGGTAAGCTCTGAGGGCGACGGGTGGGGCAGGCAGGGGGTGGAGACAGTGGGAGGGGCAGCACACCATGGACACACTTGGGAGCAAGGTTAGAGCCAGACGCAGAGGCAGCGCTGCTGCAGGAGCACGGCTCCTGCTGAGCTGGGAGGCCAGGCCGTGGAAGCAGGGGCCACGCACAGGATGCTGTCCCATGCCTACATCTGAGCTTTGCTGGTTTATTCTCACTAAAATGCCTCGGATCCCAGCATTAGAGGAGGCTGAGGCAAGAGTCAGTTCAAGTTCCACCCAGACAACTTAGTGAGATTCTTTCTTAAAATTAAAAAAATAAAACAGCTGGGGATGTAGCTCAAATACAGAGTACTCCTCGGTTTGATCCCTGATGCTGCAAAATAAAAAAATATATAAGCCTCAGGGCTTCCAAATTTGTATTAGAAAGGGAAAGGGGTGTAGAGCCCTCTGGCTTGCTCTGTCATCCCATCCTAAGATGCTCCCTCAGGCCCCTGCGGTCTGCAGCTCCACAGCCTGAGAGCCCTGCCTGCTGCCTCGGGGTCATTTTGGAGCTGGGTGCCCTTTCACAGAGGCAGAGGTGCAGAGCAGAGAGCAGCCCGGCAGATGGTGCAGTCTGCCCAGAGCTGTGCAGCAGGAAGCCAGGCAGGCCGGGTGCTGGGAGCAGGGGTGGTCACAGCTGGACAGAGCCCAAAGACCGCCTTGGTGACTCTGAGATGTAGCCTGGAGAACACAAGGACACAATCTCGCCCTTATTCCTAGGACCCCACAGCCCTGCTCCCGGCCCTCCAGTCCAGAGCCTGAGCTACTGCCTGAGGCTGACCCCAAAAAGCTCCCCTCCCCTGTCCCAGCTGCAGAGGCAGACAAGGAGCCCCAGCGCCTGCTGGTCCCCGACATCCAGGAGATCCGCGTCAGGTGGGACAGGCTGCCACCTTACCTGTGGGGGTGCTTGGGCCTGGTCATGGGTATGGACAGCCCTTGGGGCCAGGGCAGTGCATCTGCAGCTGGGCAGGCCATGCACATATAGGCTCTTGGAGGGCTGGCAGTGTGAGGGGATGGGCCAGTACATGGCGGGTGGTGGTCAGAGCTGGACTGTGGGCTGAGGCATCATAGTGACGTGGCAGTGTGGGAGCAGCCTGAGCTCTCCTTAGGTTTCCCTGACAGCTGGGAGCCCATACAGAATGGGTGGGCGGGCCTGCTCTCTGGCCATCTGGCTTGGGTCTGCCAGGCTCTGACCTGTGAGGTGTGCGGCACTGCCCCTCCACAGCCCGATCGTGTCCAAGAAGGGCTACCTGCACTTCCTGGAGCCACACACTGCTGGCTGGGCCAAGCGCTTCGTGGTGGTGCGACGCCCCTACGCCTACATGTACAACAGTGACAAGGACACTGTGGAGAGGTTCGTGCTCAACCTGTCCACTGCCCAGGTGGAGTACAGTGAGGACCAGCAGGCCATGCTCAAGGTGCGCCAGGGCAGGGAGAGGGGTGCAGTGGGGTGTGGGGGTGTCCCTGGAGCTTATATGCCTGGCAGCAGCTTCTGGTGATGGGTGCAAGGTCCAGGACTAACATTGTGCTGTGCCATGGCCAGTGCAGGCCAACCCTACCCCCATGGCCCGGCTGCACGCGCATGCTCATGCCTCTGTGTGTGTGTGTGTGTGTGTGTGTGTGTGTGTGTGTGTGTGTTTGTACATGCACATGCATGCGTCTCCTTGAGGCTGCCAAAGGTGAGGTGGACTCAGCAAGCTCAGCCTCCCACACGGAGGACAGGGGCTCCAGAAAAGGCCAGGCGAGTAGGCAGCTCAGCCGTTGTCCTGGGAACAGACAGCATGTCCCGGGGTGCAGGCCCACGGGCATCCTCCAGGCCTGGGTGACAGGATGGGTGTGTGCCCTGCGGAGGGCCCCAGTCCCCCCAAAGCATTGAGCCTGCCATCGGTACCCCTTCTGCAGACGCCCAACACATTTGCCGTGTGCACAGAGCACCGTGGCATCCTGCTGCAGGCCAGCAGTGACAAGGATATGCACGACTGGCTGTACGCATTCAACCCGCTGCTGGCGGGGACCATCAGGTATGGGCCGCACCTTCCCCAGGACCGCACAGTCCTACTGTTGGGGTGCTGCAGTGGAGGCTGCAGGGAGAGCCTGTGTGGTGACCTCCCAGGGTAGGGTGTGCAACGCCCTGGCTCTTGGGCAGTGTGGGTGGGGTGCTGAAGACCCGGATGCCATGCCCATGCCCTTGTACATGGTGACAGATTCTGCAGGAGAGGCCGGCTGTGCGCCGTGGTGGGCAGGTCTCCAAGTAGGGGAGATGTGTGCACACCCAGGCTCTGGGCAGGTCATGCTGCTTGCTGAGATGCGGCCGCTCCCTGTCACTGGAGGGCTGCTTGTGGCTCCTCGCTGGGCAGGGCCCTGAGCACGCCTCCGTCCGACCTCCTGCAGGTCCAAGCTGTCCAGGAGGAGGTCTGCACAGATGCGGGTCTGAGCTGAGCCTCCAGCAGCCAGCAGCCGTCTTCCCCCATCCTCACTCCGTGTGTCCCGTCGTCTGCCGCCCAGCCCCTGCCCACCAGGGGGCGCCCTACTGGGCCCCGCGGACCGCTCTGTCTGGGGCCTGAGCACGCAGGCGGCAGCGGCTGCCGGAGGAGGCTGCGCGTGCTGTCCTTTCTCCTTCCATGACCCCTCGTTTGGAGAGAGTCTGGATGGGTAGGAAGGCCAGAGGGCACAGACTGGGAGTCGCTGCTGCTCTCCTATTTTTTTAAGCATAGACAGACTTATAATTAATATCCGTTAGGTAGTGATGTTCAAACAGTCCACTGAGAAATTAACTATCAGACTGTGTATTATTTACGTATTTATTTCTAATGCCTTGTAGCCCTGTGAGATTCCAGTGTCCCTACCCTTGTCCCATGTGCTCACCAGCCTGCCAGGGGTGGAATGAGAGGATGTCCCTGCCTAGACCGGGCTTCTCAGAGGGCAGGGCTAGTGGCGTGTGGGGTCTGTGGGTGCCTGAGCTGGCGGGCAGCTCTCAAGGTGGAAGTGGAAGGCAGCTGGATGATAAGATGGGGAGACCAGGCCCGGGGATGGTGCCAGGCAGAGCCAGGGGAGAAGGGCGGGGTCCTGTGCTGGTGTCCAGACCTGTGGGCCGTGTCTGTGGGCTGGGCAAGGGCTGTGGGGTGCAGTGGCATTCAGGATAAGGGCCCCTAGCTCTCTGGCTAAGTGAGAAGGTGGACACTGCAGGGTGGTCCTGGGAGGGACTTGGGTTCCTCACAAATGCTGTCTCCTTACCCCAGGGAGAGTAGGTGCAGCCTGAGAGAGTGCCTCAGGCCACAGTGCCCACGTGCTGGCTGTCACCATCATGGGGCTCTTCCTTCTGCAGCTGGGGTCATTTGGAAACAGGAACCAAACAGGGTGCATGCACGGGGCTGGGGTGAGCTTGGATCTGGGTGTCCCCAAGAGGTCCAGACACGGCACACAGGCACTCACAAGTCTGCCCCGCAGCCAGTGTGCAGGGCATCTCTCTGAGGGATGAGACGGGGACTGTGGCCTCTCTCCACACTCAGTGGGGGTTCTGGCTCCAGACTTCTTACGGGCAGTGCCCAGGCAGGCCCTTAGTGTTTTCCCAGGCAGCCTGGGCTCGCAGGGGGAACTCAGCTTTCATACCCCAGCCCCCAGCACCCATCCCAGGAAACCACACTTAAGAAGCTAGGATGTATGCCTCTTTCAGAAACCCCAGGCAAGGGTACCCCTAAACCAAAAGGAACCCTTGACTAAGAGCTAGGGGTCAGCACTGCCCACTGTGAGCCTTGGAGGTGGTGGGCTGGGGCAGAGAGGAAGCGATGGTGACCTGCATGAGTTCCCATGCTGGCACTAGGACCACCTCCAGGCAGGGAGGAGAGATGGGGCTCCCCAGGGTGAGTCTCTAGGGCAAAGAGGGGTGAGGCCCACCGTGCCTGCTCAGGCCAACCAACCTGAAGCCATGGCACAGGGGTCTGGGCCCAGCCAGCACGCGGTGCCTGAGGCCAGCCAGCCTGCAGAGCGCTGCGGCCCTGGGAAGGGGGCCGGAGCCCCAAGCCACGGAGCCGGAGCCAGAGCCAGCCTTTTCAGGCCTAAGCAGGGTGGGCTTCCGGTGCTCCCTGCTCTGTGGGGAGGTCCTGGTCTGAGTTGGGAACCAGAGCTGATGGTGAGAAAGGTCCAGCCACCCCACCCTGCCCAACCGTCGGTGGGGGAGGGGGGTAGTGCAGGACAGCTCCAGGGCCAGTGTGCTGCACTGTGAGGCGGCTTCCGTACCCAGAGTCAGCCTCCCCTTGTGTGAGAAGGCTGGTGTTTTGTAACAGAGGGGTGGCTAGTCCTGCTGGGGCACTGTTTCCTGCCAAGTCAGAGTGAGAAAGCTCCAGAAGCCACTTCTCCAGGCCTTCTTGTTCTGATGCCTGGTGCTGCCCGGCTTGGGGTGGGCAGCATCCTCCATGAGGGTAAGAAGCCTAGGCCCCATTCTGTGGTGCCAGTGTTGGGCTCACCAGCTGCGCATGCCCACATACCAGGATGGCCATGGTGCCGGCCTTCCCTGCCACCTCTGGTCCCGGGAGGCCCTTGGGCACCTCAGGGTCCCTAGACAGGACTAACTGCAGGTGTGAGAGGCTCGAATGCTGGGCCTCTGCCAGCCACACCCCACTCGGGGACCCCAGAAGGCAGCTCCCTGTCCCTGAGGCCTGGGCTGCACAGCACCCCAGATGGACAGGCTGTGGTTGACCAGCTTGTCCCTGGGCCTCCTGTAGCTCATCCCTCCCAAAGCCCCTGAGGAGAGGCCTCCCCCTGGCTTGTACATACGTGACTGTGGTGGGCACGCCGGCCCCTGTTAACACCACCCGTGTAACAATCGAGTCCCCGATGTCTTACGCCGAGTGTTAGCTGTAGGCTCCTGTACCCCTGTGTGCACTAACACTGTCCATGAAGAAATAAATGTGGCTCTTACGCAGCGCACATATGGGCCTCAGCTGTGGCGTCTTTGGGCTGGCTGCTGGGTAGGGCCTGAACAGTCACCGGGAAGGGCCAGAGCAGGACAGCTCCGGGGCCAGAGGCTGGGCTTTGGTCTCGGTGCTGCAGGCTGCCTGCACCTGTGGGAACTGATGCCATCTCCCTTACCTGTCACAGGACAGCCTCAGGGGTCTTGGCCCAGCGGCACACAGCCGGTCTTCTGAGCTCCCTGTTAACGCATGAGGGCCCTGCTCCTGCCTACAGCCCAGGGTTGGGGGTGGAGCCGAGCAGGCACCAAGCAAGGCTGCTGACATTCTCAGGCTTGAGATAAGCAATGTTATGGCCTGCAGGTAGCACATGATCACCTCTAGGATACCAGAAGATGTGTCGGCCTGCTCTGACCTGGAGCAGAGAGTGGCTGGGGCTCAGGGTCAACCCCAGAGCACTGGGGGTTCTGGTGGAACTGTGGCAGCCTTGGCGCCTGCTGGGTGCCAGGTTGGGCCCCTCAGCTCCCCTTGGCCAACATATGGGTACCCTGGGCAGAGGAACGGTGTTGCCGCATGCTGATCAGCTGTCCATGGGGACAGGACCTTGGGACAGCCACACTGTGCCTGGGCCACTGCAGGATGGCAGGGCCAACTCTGACACAGCTGGGCTGTCAGAGCAAGGCCAGGGGAGAGGTCAGGGCCAGCAAGTCTTGGTCCAGGGTTCTGGGGCCACCTGCGGCCTTGCTGCTCTGTGGGGTGACAGGACTCTCCAGCCCTGGCCTCAGGGTGTATACTCCTATCCCAAGGGTCCAGGATGGGGCTGGGCTGGACATGGCCAGGGCAGGATCTGGGACCACTGTCTGAAGGAGGCAGAGAACAAGAGGCTGGGCAGGGCAGAAGGGGGCCAGGTGCCTCAGCCGGACCTGGGCTGGGGGTCCCAGGGCCATGGGTCTCAAGTGTCTCTGCAGGCTGTGAAAGCTTTACTGAGAGTCCCCGAGGGCCCCAGGAGTGTCATCTCCCCATGCAGGGACAATGGTGTCCTGTGTGTCTGCTCTGGAGTCAGCTAGTCCAGCACAGCAAGAAGAACCACCTGCCAGAGCTGTGCTCGTGGGGCAGGAGGGAACCAGGGAACAGACCACTTGGGGCTTCCGAGTTAAGCATCAGCTCAGGCCCTGAAGGCCCAGGTCTCCGCACCATGGGAAGAGGTAGCCAGGAACCGGGTTTAAGCTTGCTGGCACCCGTGGTCTCTCCAGTCACTGTGGCCCCAGCCCTCGTTACCACATCCCTAACCACAAAGAGTTGACCCTGTGGCGCCATGACAGCTACCCCAGGGGCCATAAATGCTTGAGAACCCCAGTGCCTGAGGGAGTCTAAGCTCAGACCACACCCTCCATCCCACCCTAGAACCCAGGGCTTACTCGGCCTCAAGTCCTTGGGCCGCGTGGAGTGGACTTCCATTTTCAAATAAATCATCAGTCCTCAAACTCTTGTGTGCCCGGCTCAATTCTGTGTTCAGGACCGTCCAGAGCCTGGTAACCCCGACCCAGCCGAAGAGCAGATCAGCTGCCAGGCCCGCAGCCAGGATGGCAGCCTCCTGCTGAGCACTGCCCGGGGTCCAGGCCCCAGGCCCCACCACGAGGGCACCAGCACGAGGCCCAGGGCCCCGCACCTGGCTCTACTTCTTGGTCCCCCAAAGCCTTCTGCTGGTACGAGAGGGGTGTCTGCAGCCCAAGAGCAGGGCGGGTGTGAACGCCCGTGACCCAGTGCCCTTCTGGCATGAGCTGAAGCCCGACCACCCGGCCCTGTCGCTACCTGGCCACACCAATTGGTGTTCACCAAGCACCCCTACCCCGGCCGGTTCTGGAGGGCCTGGTGGCCACACGGTTAGAGGCTGCCTGGGATCACAGTCTTGGCAGGGTCTGCGCGAGGTGCTGGCCCCACACTAAGGGAGACACAATCCCTGCAAAAGGAAGCTCCTCTCAAAAAGCACCTTCCTGCAGAGCGGGTACAGCAGCAAGGGGTCCTGCTGCTAGGAAGGTGCCTGTGTGGGATCACGGAAGGTGGACCATGGGCTTCATTAATGAGACATCCGGCAGGATCATACACCTTTCCCTCTCTCGTCCTCTTCCTGGGCGCTAGTGCGTGTGTGAGCGTGTTGCTGGAGGTTTTCCTGGAGGTCTTTCGCGCTGAGCTACATCCCCAGCCCTTTTCAGTATTTTAGAGAGGATCTCACTCTGCTGCTAAGCTGGCCTGCTGGGCTCCTCCTTGTGATTCTCCTGCCTCAGCCTCCCAGAGTGGGGTACAAGCATGCAGCCCACACCCGGCCTTCCTAGGCCTCTCTGCTGCGGATGTATTCATTCAGCTGCAAACATTTACATCGTCAGCAACTTCCTCTTTGTTAATCTAGCTGAAGGGAACACCAGTCACTCTTGCTAGTCATTTTGGCAGCTTTGGCCTTGAAAGAGTCTGCAAGGGTGCTGGGCTGCAGCCTCTCCGCTGGCTGCCCGGTGAGGCAGATGTGGCCATGTGACCGCCGCCGCTTCTGGAGATGTCAGGACGGCAGGGCTGATGGTCCTCACAGAGCCGCTTTTCTGAAAGCGTGTCGCCTTCCACACAGATTGGTTTCATGTAAGTTGGGAGTAATTTTAAGTGACAGTTTATGTGATGGGATCTAACGTTTCCGCTGACATTTGCAATTTGTGGAGATCATATTAGAAAGTGGAAATGAACCTATGCTTGTAAATCCTATCATTGTATCTTCAATTATGTAATTTTTAAAATTTTTTTTAATTCTTTTTTTTTTTTTTTTTTTTTGTATCGGGAATCCAACTGAGGACCTTGTGCTTGCCAGACAGGTCACACCACTGAGCTACATCCCCAGCCTGTGTCTTCAACTACAAGGAAAAATTAAAGTTATTTTCCTGGAAGCCTCAAGAGGCTGTGACAGGCCAATCACTGAGTGTGAGGTCAGCCTGGGCTACATAGTAAGTTCAAGACTAGGCTGAACCATATAGCAAGACCCTATGTTGGAGAAACACTTTTCATATTAGTAATTGGTTCATCTTAAGTTGCCTATAGAAATTGTGGGGGGGAAAAAAAAAAAGACTGAAAAAAATTAAAAGAGGGCTGGCCAAAGAGCTCAGCGAATTAAAGCACCTGCTTAGGCAGACATAGGGGCCGGGGTGCCATCCCCAGCCTGCCATGCTGGCCCCGCCCCAGGGGCACGCTGAGCCAGCAATTGAGCTGGGCATGGTGGCACATGCCTGTAATCCCAGCACTTGGGAGGCTGTGAACAGGTGGATCCCTACGAGTCCGATCTAGTAGTAAGACTCTGAACACCCTGTAGACCCTTCCTTAAATACGGATAAAAAAAAAAAAGAAAAAAGATTGAAATTGTGGGGAGGGCTGGCAAGAGAGCTCAGCGGACTAAGCACCTGCTTTGGACCAGTGTTTGATGCCTGGTCCTGCATGTCGCACTGGCCCCATCCCCGGGTGCACTGAGCCAGTGACCAAGTCTAGGTGTGGTGGTGCACTCCTTTAATCCTAGCACTGGGGAGGCTGAAAGCAGGAGGATCACTAGGAGTCCAAGCTGCCTAGTGAGACCCTGTACCAAATACATGAAAGAAAGAAAGAAATTGGGATTTTTCAGCTATTGTAGTGATCTTTCTATTTAATTTTTGCTTTGTAGATTTTGCTTGACACCAATTTTCAGAGATAACATAGAGGTTCTTAACTCCTGCAGCAATCTCCGTAGCTTCCTGGTACTAGCTGTGGCTGTTACCACGCTTTTCACCTGATCACACATGCTGCCTGACACCTGCACTCCCGCCCCACCCTCTCAAGGCACAGGACTTCCTGGGGGGACCCCCCACACCAGCTTGCACTCTGAGTTCTGATGCCTATGGGTGTGAGCTGCCTCCTCCCGGGCTGCATCTTCTGCTATGAGCAGCTGTGGTATCCCAGACCTGGTCCCAGGGAGCTGACAGCCCTCCTGCCCCTGCCCTCGGTGCTCCCTGTGCCTGGACCACCCAGAGCTCTCTGGAGCCCCTCCCAGGGGTCTTTCAGGGACCTAGATCTTTGTCACCCTCTCCCCAGGCCAGGCAGATGGAGGGACAGCCGGGAGGGCTGCTGGTAGGAGGACAGGGGAAAGGCTTCTGCTCCCCCAGCTTTTTTTTCCCCTTGGGGACTTCGATTAAGCAAGTTCTGTCCTCCTGGACATTCCCGGGAAATGTTCCCAGACTTGCTCTGTTTGGGGGAGGAAGTGGCTAGCGTGGGTGCCTGGTTGCTGCAGCTGTGGCCCCAGCAATGAATGGGGATTTGCCGGCTCTGCGGGGTGCACGGGCCACTTCCTGAGGGTCAGGGCTGAGGTGGACCTCAGCAGCTGGGCCCTGGTGCCGAGCCGACAACTGCATTTCTGCTGCAGGTCTCATCCACCACTAACCCCTCCTGGGTCCCAGGCCTCCCAGGCAGTGGGTACACAGATGTGCCTGGCACCCAGCAGGCTTAGAGGGAGCCTCCAGGCCCAGGCCAGCTCTTCAGACTTCTCGCCATCCTCCTGAGTCCCTCCATGATCAAGGGTGGGAAGTAGGTCAGGTAGACAGAGGGGGCTCCCCAACACACCCTTCCAGAAACCTGGCCAGGCCAGGGAGCTGCAGTGGTTTATTGACAGGCAGTTTCCAGGGAGGGAGCTCCCCCAGAGTGGTGAGAGGATCCAGAGTCCATGAATGGCTGGCAGGTGGGAAGTGGGTCACTGGGCACTGCCCCACTCCTGCCCAGTGCGCCCCTGCGTGGCCACAGGGGTGTCCACAGGGGCCATGGCCAGCTTCCCTCTGGGGCTCCGGTACTTGCTCTTGTGCCTGTAGAACAGGTTTCTCCGGAAAAGGCGGGGAAGGTGGCCCTGATGGAGCAGAATAGCCAGAACCATCCCTGCAAGAGATGAGGTGGGGTGGTGGGGCAGGTGGACGTAGGACCATTCCCAAGATGGGCAGCATGGTACCCTGGGCCCCTCTGCAAGCTGGTCACCCCACCCCTGCTGGAGCTGGTGTCCAGCCCCCTTCCCCACCTTGGGAATAGGAAGGAGGCCACCAGGACTCTGGACTGCTCTTTGGGGACCCAGGTCTGGGGTTCCCATTGTGCGTAGAGCTTATGCCCCATCCTGGGTGTGCAGTGAGTGGAGGGGAGGAGAAGGATGGGGCTGTGTGGTTGAACCAAGCAGGGGATTCGAGTTGGGGCCAGGCCTGGTGACTCCTTGTCCTCACATCTGGCCTAGAATCCAGAAACTGAGGGTCCCTGTTTCCCACCTGGCCTGCAGTCGCTCAGAAGGTCAGCACCGGAGAAAAAGAGATCTGCCCTTCAGGACTGAACTGCGGGCAGGTGGCCTGCAGGGTGGCCAGGACCAGCCTCCATCACCGCCTGTGGAGTGCATCCTTGTGGCCACAGCCTGGCCCCTCCCTGCTGCCCTCCTTATGAAGCAGAGGGTGCTACCCCGCTCTGAGGAGGATTAGGTTGAAGCGCATTCCAGCTCAGCCACCAGGCCCACGGAGCAGGCACAGAGCCACCCATGCTCTCCAGCTCACCCAGCAGGGTGGCAGCTCCTGTCAACAGCACTTGGAGTGCTGTCACCAGTACAGAAATCTTGGGATACAGATGGGGACCCTTGCTGGTTCCTGAAAGCTGCCTTAGGATGGTAGGAAAGGGGTCCCACTCCAAGTGTCACCCTGTCCAGATGGGTCACAGCAGGAAGACCCAGCAGCGCACTTTGGGAACTGAGGAGTCTGAGACAACACACACAGATGGGGTCAGAGCCCACTCACCGGGCAGCAGGAGGCAATTTGGAGAAGAGCCCTCTGTTCTCCAGAACCCAAGTCCCAGCAGGCCAGAGCCCCAGGCCCAGGGGGCAGGCGGAAAGTGGGAGGAGCCCAGAGGCCCAGAGGCTCATGCTGTGGGAGATGGCCCCAGCTGACCCTGGAGGACAGGGACATTCCCCCCAAAGCGTCTGCAAGCCTGTGCCTGGCATGTGCATGGGGTGCTGAGCCTCTGGGACTCTCCAGACGAAGGCACATGTGGTGTGTAGCTCAAAGCGGTACCAGGGAGAAGCGCGTCCCAAGAACCATGCTCTTCCTAAACCTCGGAATGTGCCTCCTAGGAAGTAGGGTCTGCGTAGCACGAGTATCTGAGTCACACTGCAGCAGAGAGGGTCCCAAGCCAGCAGCACCGGTGAGGACAGGGCAGGGCTTGGAGCCAGAGGACAGCAAGGGACACCTGGGACCACAGAAGCAGGCCTGGCCAGGGGCGTCCTCTTCTCCACCTCAGAGGCATCAGCTCTCCCAGAGCCGTGCGAGGCACTGGGCGTGTAGCACCTCACGTGAGGGCCCCAGGAAGGAGCACAGAGGCCCAGAGCTAGGCCTTCACTCAGCAGGAAACGAATCCAGACAGAGCTTGACCCCAGGCCAAGCCGGCACCATGCACAGCCAGAAACCAGGATCCTTCGCACAGAATGTGTGGCTGCCCACTCAGGGTTTCCTTTACTGCCTGGCATGCTGCCCAGGATGCCGGCCACCAACAGGGAGGCACAAACCCACCAAGGGCAAGATGTAGAAAATGAGCCAGAAAGCGCTGGTGGGAGGGAGGCACCCTGCGGGGAGGTAGAGCCCTGGGAACCTGGAGCAGTGGGGACACCCTGGAGGCTGTGAGCAAGGGACAAGGGGTGCAGACTGCACAGACGCCTCTCCACCACCCACCCACTCTCCGGAGACCTCTCTGGGGGCTGAGGCTTGCAGACAGGAACAGCTCTAAGAATTCCCAGGGCCCTCACCACTCCATAAAATGTGATGAGTGGGGCAATCTAGGGCGGGCACAGCTTGGCCTCCAAACCTGGTGGACAGAGGCTCTGATGCTGTCGCCTGGCCTGGAACTTCACAGCCCCACACTCCTGCTCCAGGTGAGCGGAGGGGTGTTCTCCACGCTCCAAGCAGGCCTGAGGACCCCTAGCTCACAGTCCTGGGGTGGGGTGGGGTGGTCCTTTCCCCTCAGGCCTCCTTGGCTATCAGGGCCAGCAGCAGCAGGGAGCCCTGCTCACAAGGACAAGGCCCTGTGGAGTGGGAGTCCCCGAGGTGCTGTTCCACCCCACCTCCTCCCCATGTGGCTGCCTGCAGCCCAGGACAGGCCACTGAAGCCACCTCCCCTACCATCCATGCTGCTGAGGGTCCCCTTGCCTCCTGCTCCAGGCCCCACAGAGCCAGAGAAGCTCAGCCACAGGCATCAGGGGTCTGTGTTCCCATGGGCATGCAAGGCAGGGTGGTCTAGAGCCAGGAAAACCTGTGTCATTCCCTGTTCCTGGCCTGGGGCCACCACCCACGCTGTCTCGCCCACTGTCCCCAGGGTCCTCACCACTCACCTGTCAGGGGGCCCAACCAGTACACCTGGGCATACTCCAAGAAGCTGTGTCCCAGGCAGTGGAAGGTGACAGAGGCGGCCAGTGCGGGGTTGAAGAAGGCAGATGTGTAAGGCCCAGCTGTGGACAGAAGCAAGTGGTCCTTGCTTCTGTCAGCTGCCACGCCGAGATGCCACAAGGCTATGGCAGGAGCACCCCTCCTCCAATGTCCCCATGTGAAAGACAGTTTTGACAGCCATGGTGAGAGGGGGAGAGAGAAGAGATGGAGGTGGAGGGAGAGATATGGAAGCAGTGAGAGGACAGAGGGAGTGGAGGGATGGGGAGAGGTGTGGGCCCTCACAGGCAGTGAGGGAGGGACCCCAGGGCCACTGCCAAGGAGCAAGGCATGTGACAGTGGGACAGAGTGGGTCTGGGCCTGGGGAGAGCAGGCAGTCCCGTGGACATGGAGCCAGGTGGAGAAGAAACTGGCCTGCTGCACCCAGCTTCTCTCAGGACCGTGGGAAGTGCCTGGTAGCTCCCTGCTGTGACATCTGTCACAACTGGCGGGGCTGGGGCACTAGACTATGTCCCTGACCAGGGCTAGGGCCAGGCCCCAGCTGCCCCCTCAACTGTGGCCCTTCTGGGTAAACAGCCCTGGGAGCTAGGGACAAGTCCGGGGCCTGCCCAGGGTCTGGGGACTATTTGCCCAGCCTACAGGGACCCCTTGCTTGCACACCCTCTCCTGCGTCCCATGGGTTGTGGTCCTGATGGGCCCAGCAGAAGGCAAGTGCCCTCACCTGTGTAGGCTGTGACAGTGACCAGCAGTGCCACGGCTGGTGCCCTGTAGACCGGGAGGCTGTGCCGCAGGCAGAGCAGTGTCAGGTGGAAGAAGAAGGCGCAGGTGCCCTCTACCAGCGCACCGTGGCCCACGGACGTGTGCAGCGCGGGGCTGCAGTGGGTGGCCAGGAGGCTCTGCAGTAGGTGCATGTCGCTAAGCTCCCAGGCCCAGCAGCGCCGGGTCAGTGCTCCAGCCAGCTGCACGCCCAGCGCCTGGGCTGCCAGCTTCAGCAGAGTGCTGGGAAGTGTCACCTCAGCGAGGAGAAACTCCTGCAGGGCCACAGTGGGGTTGGCAGAGGCGCCGTCGAAGGTGGCCCCATGCACCAGGAACAGCAGGAAGAGCAGGGTCAGCAGAAGGTCCGGTCCTACACCCCCGGCCCAGGGCCCGAACTCGGCCAGCATGCGCATCTCCAGGCAGCAGGCGGCCAGCTGGGCCGCGCCAGCCACTTCCCGGGCAAAGCTGGCATAGGCACCCGTCGGGAGGAGGGCCTTGCACACCCTCCTGGCCATCTCACAGAGGGCACAGGTGGCAAGGAAGAAGGAGAGGGACACGTTCAGGCCAGCCATGGGCCTGGGCTCTCCGGAACATGCCACACGGAGCCACAGTGACACAGGAGGTGGCGGGGCAGCAGGAGAGTCCAACTGGCCCCTGGGAATGCCACACCTGGGCCCTCACGCCAGACCCACAGCCTGACAGGCCCACAGCGGACCCGCCCTGCCTGTGTCCTCCCCAGGCCCTCTCTTTGCTCTTGCCACCCTTCAAAGCCTCCGTCCCAGTTCCATGACTCACACTTGGGCTGCCGGCGCCAGGGCCACACTATGTGTTTCCTGCACCTGGCCAGGGCCTGCAGCTCTCCACCTATGGGTCGCCCACCACGAGAGCCACCTGATGTCCACACCCCAGGAATCCACACACCCCCAGCAAGGCCTGTGGAACTGGGCCCGTCTCCTCCCCCTTGGCGTCTCCTTGCAGCTGCCTTGGAGGGTGCGACAACCCTGGCACTCAGGCTCAGATGGGACACACTGCTATGCTGTGGCCCCCAAGACTGGGCCCAGGGGACTGGAGACTCCATGGGGACCCCATGCTGGACACTGGAACTGTGAGAGGGTGGGTCTGTGAAGTCATGATCTCAGAGGGCGGTGGGCATCGGGGCATCACCATGACTCCACAAAGTGACAGAGGCAGAGTTCTGAGGTGTGGTGGTGGCTGTGGGGGATGCTGAGGTTGGCAGGATGGTCCTCCTACTCAGGGGGTGCACCCAGAGGCTGCGGCTCCCTGTCCTGAGCGGGGTGCTGGGAGCAACCCCAACCAGGGCCACTGAGGCCCTGACACCGAGGGGAGGCTTCTACAAGGAGTAAGAGAGAGAGGTTGTGGCCACAGACACCCTCAGGGGCAGTCACAGGATTAGATGTGGACAGGGAGGCACTGGCCTCCCTGGTCCTTGGCAGTCGCTGGGTGGAGAGGTGAGGCTGTCTCCACAGCGTGAGGAGCACTGTGCTGACGCAACTGGGCCGGAGCAGGGGTGGGGGCTTCTCCACCCTCCCAAGACCCTAGAGGGCCCTCTCAGCCCACAGCTGGCCCATGCTGTCCCGTGCCCGCAGGAGAAGGCAGGTCTACCTCCTTCCTGGCTTTGCCTCTGGACAGTAAGGTGGAACTGCTGGCAGGGTTCGCATGTCGTTGGAGACCCCCTGCCCCCCCTGCGAGGGCGGTGCTGAGCCAGGAGAAGAGCAGCACACAGTCTTCGAGTCTAGGCACACCTAACAAGGGGTGGAGGGTCGGGAGGGGTGGGAGCGCCTCCAGTTCCCTCTCCCCAGAACCAGTTCAGCAGGCCAGGCCCATGCACCTCCCATGCCAGGGCCGCCTCTGGGGAACCTGCTTCTTACTTTTCCAGTTCAGGTCTGCACCCCACCAGAGTCCAAGAAGAGACCCAGCTCACTGGAGGCTGAGGGGGCTGGCCCCAAGGGAGGAGGTCAGCCTGCTTCAGCAGGCTCTGACACAGTTTGGGGGCCCGGCGTGTGATGGCCTCTGATTCCCCAGGAAGGTGGGGACCCCCAGGAAGTCCCACCTGAGTCAGGCCCTTGTGCAGGAAAGGTCCGGCTCCCTGGCCCAGTGGACCCCAGGGTGGCTGAGATGCCACGAGAGACTCCCCCAGCATTGAAGGTCAGCACCTGCTCAGGGAAACACGTCACTGGGAACGTCCACATATTCCTCAGACTCAGCAACCGAGACTCCGCCAGCACCAAGAAACATTTCCATCGCCCACGAAATTCCTCGTGCCCCTGCAGACGCCGCCCTACCCCTGACGTGGGAGCATCACCTTCTGGACTGGCGGGCGTGCCGAGCTGTGCTCTCACAGTCGCCACAGGCCTCCAGCTGCCTGTCTGTGAGGAGCACAGTTCCATCTCCACATATCTTCCTGTTTATCGCCACAAGGAATTCCATTTATGGATGGGCCTCACTTACTCATCTTTCTGATAATAAATATTTGGTTTGGATTCTTAATTAAAATGAAGAAAGCTGCTATAAACCATGTTTGTGCAGTTCTTCTGTGCTGTGTGTTTACATTTCTCTGGGGTGAAGGCCTGCGGGGCCCTGAGCACTATCTAATTGTTCCCTACGTGGTCACAGCACATTGGTCCACCAGCACCGTGGGGGCCTATGCATGCCTCGCAGTTGTGCTGCCGTCTGGCACTCTGTCCATGCAGTCCAGCTCGGGGTCCCGTCTGCGCCTTGCAGCTGCACTCCTGAAGGCAGGATGCAAACACCCTGTGAGCTCCCAGAGTCACACGCTTTTCACCTGCTTGTCAGAAAGCGCGTGAGTCTCTTCGGCTGTGTCTTCTTATGAGTCACGCTGCGCCTTTGTATATTCTCTGTACGTGTCCTTGGCCTGATTTTGTCTTGTCAATATTCCCTCCCAGTTTCTGGTCATTTTCTGACTGGTTTCTTTAGATAAGGAGCATATTCTGATTGTGGTAAGCTAGCTGGCTACTTTTTCGTTCCATAGCTACTGCTTGCTGCCTCCCACCCACAGAATAGCTGCCCACTCCCAGGTGACAGGAACGTTCTTCATTACCTTCTAGAATTTTACGATTTAGTGGTTAAGCATGTCTCTGTGCTGCTTATTGAAATGACTTTTGATTACTGTGTGAAATGAGAGCATGTTTCTTTCTCTCCACGAATGTCCCACTATTCCTGCGCCATCTGATAAAAAGCCCTTTCTTTCCCGGCTGAGATGCTTGGCCACTTGATTAAGAGCCAGTTGACCCTAAATGCGAGGCTATGCGCCACAGCACTGCACTCTGACCAGTTCAGCCCCTCTTCACCGAGTGCTGCCACCTTGACAGATACCTGCTCGAGCTCTGTCTCAGAACCAGACCGCCATGGCCTCGGCTCTCTCTTCCTTGCCCAGACAGTTCCAGCACCCTCACATTATTGTGCAGCTTAGAATCTCCTTGCCCACTTCTGTTCTGAAAGCTTGGTGAGGCTACAGTTGGGTTGGCTTTGAACCCACAGATCAGTTTACGGAAACATGAGTCCTACCAACGCTGGGTCTTCTGTCTGTGGAAACAGTGTGTGTCTCTGCAGGCTTTGGCGGGGCGCTGCCCAGAGGCCAGTGCAGGCAGAGCAGAGGTGGGGACATGGGTGTTCTTTGCCTTACTCCTGTGCTTGGGGGAATGCTCTCACTCCTTCCTATAGTACTGGCTGGTATTTGGTATTAGCTGTGGGATTTCTGAGACTCTGGAATTGTATTGAGGAAATTCTCTTTGCTACTAAGAACGGCTGTTGGGTTCATCCAGGGAGGTGCTGTATCTGATGGTTTCCCTGGCTAAGCACACCTGGCCCTTGTGGGACAAGCCCTACATGGGACGCTGTGTAACCTACTCCATGTGACAGGTCCCTTTTGTGACACTTGGGGGGGGGGCTTTGGCCTGTGCTTCCGAGGGGAGTGGTCTGTATCTCTCCTGTCTGGTGATGATTTTGGTTATTTTGAGGTCAAGGCAAGACGGCCCCACAGAATGACGTAGACAGCTGTCCTCCCTCTGTTTTTTGGTGAGTGTCTGCAAGAGTAGGCTGGGGAGATAGCTCAGCGGCATAAGCACCTGCCTGGCAAGCGAGAGGTCCTGAGTTTGATCCCAGGTAAAACAAAACAAAGAAAAGTATTCCGGTTCCTTGAATATGTGACAGACAGAATTCACCCATGAGGTCACCTAGGGGTTTCCTTGCCCAGCTCAGGACTGGAGAACAGGGAAAGACCCGAAGGCAGTGAGGGCCCAGGCGCATGGGTACACCCTTCCCCAGCCAGCAGGAGAGGTCTGAGGACAGGGCAGTCATCACAGAGCCACAGGGACAACCTCGGGGGCGGGGTCATCAGTGGGCCTGAAGCCCACGTGGGCTAGAGGACCCAAGAGGAAGCTGAGGAGGGAGGTGCACTGGGTGCACCTAGGCTGAGCCACAGACACCCCACTTCCAGGCAGGCTGGAAAAGACAGCTGGGGCTGAAGTGGTGTATACCTGCTGAAACAGGAGCAGCAGGGAAAGGAGGAGGGGTGAGCAGTGGGTGTTCCACGGCCTGTGACTGGCCCAGCCAGCTGCATGCAGCTGTGCGCCCTGGCTGCCCTCTGGGCCCCAGCCCTCCAGGGCAAGGGCTTCTGAGTCACCTGAGTATCTGCTTCATTGCATTCACCCCCATTTGTGGAAACAGAAGGATTAAAATCCTCAACAGATGGACTTCTTGCTGACGCCACCCTCCCAGCGTGCACTCTGCTCGGCAGTTGCGAGGCACCTCGGGCGCTGTAGGTCTGTTTGCACGGAGACAGCGCAGAGTCCATCTCGCCCCCACAAGCTAAGCTGCCTTCCCACGGCGTGGGATGTGGGAGCACAGGACAGCCTCCTCCATGTCCGAGGGCCTCAGTGAGCTCCCAGCCAGGTGTAGCTTCAGGGCACAACTTTAGGCCAGCGCAGTTCCTAGAGGGGCTGCAGAAAGCTGGACTCTGGGAAGAAATGCGGCCGCGACGTCGGATTGCCGAGCGTCCCCCCCCGGCTCTATGACCTGCAGAGCCCAGTCTCTCACTGCTCGTCCTTGGGCACCACCCCTGCTCCTCTGGGCAGTGTGCTCTGCACTGAGCAGACTTGCATGTCTCCACCAAGCTGGCACCCGGGTCCTGGCACGAGCCTGCCGGGCTCACCCTCTCTGCTCACAGACGGGGACACTCCCACCTGCACCAGGCTGGCAGTGCTGCGTCTGTCTTCTCTCTTGCCCCTTGCTTTCCTTTCTGGCTCAGCCCCACCCTTCAGTGGATGCCACGTTGCCTTGGTACGCTCTTCCTTGCCATTTGTGGGTGTCTAGTGCTTCCCATGGGTGATTGAGAGCTAGCCTCAGCCCCTTCCACATGGCCATCGCACCACCTCAGCCCAGTCTCTCATTCTGTGGTGCTGGCTCAATGGCTGCAGCTAGTGGACATAAGTAGCACAGCCAAAGTAAGAGCACCGTGCCAACCAATGACTACAGAGAGAACAGCGCCATGAGCGCAGCTTCTCTGAGATGTCTGCAGGGGCCACAGGGGTCCTCTGTCCCCGCCAGCTGCTGTTGGCTTGGAGCCACTCCCTGGGTGAGCATCCAGCACCCTGTGCTGCCACCGCCCATCAAGCCCTGTGTTGCCCTCTCTATCGCTGGCACCCACCAGGCCAGTGGCCAACTGAAGCTTTATTCTTTTTGCATTTAGCAGCCAACAAAATCCTTGAAACCACTTGGTATATCCAGATATCCCCCAAAGCCTCATGTGGCCACAGAGCACTCTGCAGAGAGCGGGCAGCCTGGATCGATACAGGGCCAGGAAGAGAGCTGCTTGCCCCTAGCCGCTTGCTCCTGCTCTACAGCTTCCACGCCTGCGGGCTGTGTCTCCTCTGCCCCGCCGCCCTACCTCAGAGCCTGCCGACTACAGCTGAAATCTTGTTTCTGTGGCCTGGGGTGCTGGGTACCTGTCTCAACAATGAGAAGAATGACCAAGACAGAAGGGCCCAGAGCTGCGCCACGCCCTCTGCACGATGTCCCATCTGCACATCCTGTTTGCCCATCCTCCCTTCCACAGGACCTGCACGGGCGACTCTTCCAGCCTGGGCTCTCCAGAGGTGGCCCAGGACCCCAAGCGGGATCAGTCCTCTGCCCTCTCCACCTGCTACTCTCCCTGCTGCGGGCTGTGTGCTGGGCCCCTCTGCTCAGCCCTCTGGCTCTGTCTGGGCCCAGATCCTCTTCCCTGAGGAGCGGGGAACTGTGTCACACAGCCTGGCCCCAGGAGAGCTGCCTCCTGAAATGCACTTCTGAGCTGAGACCTGCAGTGAGAGGCTCTTCCTGCTACTACAGTGATTCTATTTCATTTCCTACTAAAATGATATTTTTACTTAGTTTTGTTGCTGTTAAGTGCTCTTCCAGTCTGCTTATAACTCTTAGGATGTACTGTAAGTGCAGGTGACTTAAGCGAGCGTCTTAGAGGTGTTGTGGATCATGGCACTCCATACCTGTACTCCCAGCATTTGGGAGGCCGAAGCAGGAGGATTGCCATGAGTTTGAAGCCCTGTGCAGTGAGTTCAAGGCCAACCTGAACTACAGTGAGATCCTGTCTCCTGTCTCAGGAAAAAAAAAAAAAAGTGTTTTGATGTTATTTTATTTGGAAAAAGTATGATATTATTCTGTCACTGCTAATAAGTGTAATAAAGTAATGCCAAAACACGGCAAAAACCTTGTTTTGTCTTCTAAAAGAGTCTTGATGGATTTCTTTGTTTGTTTTCTGATCTGAATAATTACACATCTCAGATGAAGACATCCGGAATCATAATTTCAAGGCAGTGCTGGATAATGTGCATCATGGAAATGTGACTCTCACTAGCAGATGGCTTCGCCTCCTGTGATTGCTAAGTGACGCCCAGAGCTTGCGCTGGTAGTTCTGAGCAGACAGTGTCTCCTGCAGGCCCGGGAGCATTGCCACCCTCTCCTGGCAGCGCTGGGATTCGAGATGTCTGCCCTTCTGTCCCCTGCACTTTCCTCGCCTCCTCCTGCTGCCTGCCCTCTTCGGCCGGCCCAGCCCTTCCAGAAGCCAACGCCCCCGTGTACTGTCCTCCACGCCTGTGCCCCACCGGTGACCAGCAGTGGGTTCTGGAAGGACCTGGGGGTAGCGGAGAGCTGTGGTCAGCACCCTTTCTCCTGCTCACCCTGCCCTCAGGCAGGCCTCTGTGGTGCCTGGCCACACCCAGTGATGTCCAGCTGACCATGGTGGATACTTAGGGCAGAGCAGGACAGAAGCCCAGACACAGGCACCTTTGGACGCAGCCTGCCATCACACCCTGGGCACTGTCCTCCCTGCCCATGCTGTGGTCAGGCAGGGCTGCGGAGAGACTGGAGTAAGAAAGGCACAGCGAAAACTTGTCACCAACAGGGTACACAGTTCACTGCGGCCCAGGGAGCACAGGACCCTGGGCAAGCTGCTGAGGACAACGGCCCTGAGGGATTGCCCCTCGCTTTCTCCACCCCACATGGTGAGCATGACTTGAGGCCAGCGCCATTCACATGGCCACAAGACTACCCCACTGGAATGTGTTCAGCTGAGCAGGGCACCCACCGGCCTGCCCTGAACGGGAGGCCAACCCCCTGATCCTGGCATCTGTGAGGACCACACCCATGCTGCCTCATCCATAGGCCTCATCAGACAGAAGCTGACAGGATGTGGCCAGGCTTCTGTTCTCCAGGAGAGGCAGAGCTTGGTTTCCTGAGCCGGGAGGAGCAGTGGGGAGCTCAGCCTGGGGCTCGCCAGCCAGGTCAGTGACCACGGCTGCTCACATTGGCCTCTGCTGCTCAGGGCACAGCAGCACCCTGCTGGTCTATGGCCAGGTCTGCCTGCAGGCCACTTTCGGGCAGGAGTGTGGTCTCGTGTAAGAAGGACTGTGATGCGCCAGGATCTGGGGAGTGTGTGCATTAGCCTAGGTTAAGCCCACCAGGAGCCGTCCCCACACCTGGCACCCTGGCCCGCATACACATGGCACAGCAGAAGTAGCAAAGCCCGGGCGAAGGCCGTCAGGGCCCACCTGCATTGCCACGGCTCTCACTGCTGTCTCCCCACAAGGCTTCCCTGTCCCCAGCGTGAAGCAGAGGCAGCCAGGCCTGTGTGGCTGGTCACACTCCTGTCCATGCCTGGCCTCAAGATGGCAGCCACCCTGTCCTCCACCTCAGCCTGCTTCCACACCTTAGGGCCAAGAGGCCAGGTCGCCTTTTAGAAAACATCACTGGGGCCATGAGACCCCTATGCTGTCTTCCTGCCCCCCGCCTGTGTATCATCTGAGACTGAGTCTGAGCCCCGAGTTGGAGTTTGGGTAATACAGCCCCCAGGGCCTCAGCATTTGAAAGGAGACTGCATCCTGAGCAGACAAAAATTCTACTTGAGCATACCAGCTGGACATACCCATTGGGCACACTGTCACCCAGACCCACCTGGCCACAGCAGGGTCTCCCGGGGCTCAGCCCCATCGGCTCCCTAGATGGGAAGAGGTAAAGGGGCCTGAGGTGGCCTACAGTGGACATCCCCAGAGTCCCCTGGGAGATGGCCCCTCCCTGCTTCCCTCCACTTGAGTGTGGGCAACATAGCAGGCCCTGCAGGACTAGGGTGAGAGCATTATTCCTGCCCTGTCACAGGCTGATGAGTGGACGGCGAAGGCATAAATGAAAGAGACAAGTGGAGGCCAGGGATATGGTTCAGCAGCACAGAGTGCAAGGTTCCAAATTTGATCTCTAGTACTGAGAAGGAGAGGGGGAGGAGGAGG